TATATATGTATGTATGTAATGTATGTATGTATGTATGTATGTATGTATGTATGTATGTATGTATGTATGTATGTACGTATGCATGCTTGCTTGCATGCATGTATGTATGTAGCTCTCTATGTATCTCTGTATGTATCTCTGTGTGTATGTATGCATGCATGCATGCATGCATGCATGCATGCATGTATGTATGTATGTATGTATGTATGTGCATGTATATTTGCATATACACACACACATACAGATTACATGGACAATTTTAAGTTACACATATACTGTCTGCTGTACTATTGATGATCGTCGTTAATCAAATCGCCTTTGCTATTGATAGTTTCCCTGGCCCATGCAGTTGGAGATAAGCCTTCTCCAAGAATGTTTGTGATGCGGATTTGATGCAGCCTATTGCCCTAAGTCCCGAAGCCAATCATGTCAAATTTTGCCCACCTTAAACCCTAAACCCTACCGACCACTGCAGGGTGCACAGGCTCCTCAACAAGCACCCAGATACCCTGCGAGGGTTTACGGTCCGCGCCCCTGCTCGGGATTGCCTTGCGAAGCGGCCTGAACCCTGAGCCCTAAATCTCATACCTTAGTGTTGAACATGATTATTTTGCTACGGTTCACACACAAACTGCAATTTTGTCTTAGCCGAACATTGATGGTCACAATCCTATGACATGCCATTTCACATCTACCTTGGCTGAGGTGGAGCTGAGAGAGCGCGACGACAACGAAGATGGCTCGGTGCTTAAATGCCGGACTTAGAGGCTGAGCACCCTAGCCCAGGGAAGGTTAACCTTTCAAACTATCGTAGGGCTATATAAGCCCCAAAAGGTTAAAGGTTGCGTACTCAACCCCTATAAGCATCAAATTCGTAGCAGGGGCTTCGGGGGGTCGAGAGTTCTCGTCCCTTGACGCCCCTGACCCTGAATCAGGTGAAAAGGTGGCCATAATGCAGCATACCACGTTGGAGCCATCATACTAGAAAAGGCAAGGATAGCTATTCTCCAAAGCCAAGTAGCGGCAGTGACATAAAATGCTTGGTAAAGGCGGTCACAACGGCAGCGAGAATCAGCGCGCGACAGCAATCGCAACAAAACCACTGGCGCATGCTGCAGCACGGCACAACCACTACCACCAGCGCCTCCACGACCGCAACCAACCACATGCAGCCAGCTGGCAGTACATAACCAGATTGTTTGTCACAGCAATTTTACTAGATAGCCGCCAGACGCAGCATGAAAGCGAGACGGCCGACATTATCCCGGCACAGATATATGAACCTCAGCAAGATATTGAATGGGTTTCCAGAAGACAGAAATTGTAGTTGTTGCAATCATCTAGAGACTAATGCCCCTTTGGAAGAAAGCAGTGCCGCGCGATGGACATGTTGGAAGGAAACAGTTTTGAGCAGCAGGAACGGTGTGTATCTCGTCAATACCCTGCAAGCCGGGATGGCAGAGAGTGCTCTCGACTGCTTATGTAGCGTGTGTTTTGGAGTTAGGGGCACCATCAATCTTTCACGTTGAACCTGAACAGCTCCTGTACCCTACAGCCCCCCAAAACCAAAAGAACCCTGCAGAGCTCTGTATTTGAATCAGAATGGGATGTCCTCTACTCAGACAGAATTTCACCTCCTAAGGAGTGGATTGCGAGACGTGGCTTGACTGTAAACAGGTTCGGATTTAGGCTCCGAAATTAGCACAGTCCATGCCGCTGCAGGATTCCGGGTTTGGGGTGGTTGCGACTGCATTTTCGAGACAATGCCGACGTTTAAAGGGCTTTTTATCCCAACTGGCTACCATCGAAGCAGATACTCTTGCACGAAGCCTTGGATTACAACAGCATCTTCACCTGAACACCCTGAACCCTTACTTGAAGCGCCTGGGGCTTGCGTGAGTGTTGGCTCTTTAGGTTCTACTTCTTGACTGTATGTTTCAGCTTCGAACGCTGAAAGACATGCATCATACAAAGGCAACTCTGGCAAGTCCCTAAGTCCTACTCAGCATGGGAGCATCGAAGACCCCCGCAGTGTGCATAGCAAAGTAGAGACTCTGAAAAGCCCCCCAAAACCCAGCCTAAACACTGAACTATGCTAAACCCATCTTCGCGGAAGCCCAAACCGGACAAAAATCGAAATAGCCCCAAAACCCCTAGACTCCCAGAGCCGAAGCCCCTCAAGCCTACACCCCTGAACCCTAACACCCCCAAGGCCCGAAAAGCCCCAAAGAGCCCTAAACCCGAAACCCTAAA